TGTTAAATTCAATATATAATACTTAACCACACACACACATATTAATAAATATATTATTTAAATTATTATTAAATATAATATTTAAATTTACTTATTTTTTGAACATTATATTTATTTATTAATATGGAAAAATTAATTTATATATAATAATTATTTCTTTATATTTTATTTAAAAAAATTAATTGATAATAAATTTAATATTAAATTGAAAAATATTTTATTATCATTATATTTTATATTATAATTTGTATCTATATAATATATAATATTTAAAATTTTTTAATTTTTTAATTATTTATTTATATATAATATATAATAATAATAATTTTAATATTAATTATTTATATATAATAATATATATAAATATATATATATATATTATAATAATAAATTAAATTAAAAATAATTTTGTGATGGAATTAATGACGGAGTTATGATAGAAACTTTGTGATGAATTTTTTGTTGCAAAGTCCGTTACTAAATCAAAATAAGATATCTTGACCATTAGCAATAGGATTTTTCATCGGTAAATTTTATCGGTAAATTATTTCTGATAAATTAGCAACAAAATAATGATAAAATTTGAATAATAGAACATTCCATTGCTAAATTCCATTACTAAATTAGCAACTGAATTAGTAATGGATTAGCAATGGAAATTTATTCCATCGCTAAATTCTATCACTAATCTATTATTATTATTTTTTTGTTGTGTCTTACTTATGTGAGTTAGTTAACTAACCCCTATTTAAGACTATAGGGAGTGTTATAATTGGCACATACATTTTTTTTTATAAACAATTAGTACATACTCCCTCTATCCTTATATAAGGTGTTTTTAACTGAATCCTGCATACTAATAAATATTTGTTATTTAAGTAAACTCACATAAAAATAAAAAATTATTTAGTTTTACCCCTAATAATATTATAATTAATATCATGATGGTGGTAGGGAAAACATACAATTAATGATCTATTCTATTTTTCAAGACAAGGGTAAAATCAAAAATATCATTGCCACCCTTTATATTTAAAGTCAAAATAAGTTTATAGAAAATATCTTATATATAGGGACAGAGGGAGTATGTTTTAATAGGTTACAATTAGTACATACATTTCAACATTAGAATTAAGACTCTAATTTAGATTTAAGTGTCCGTCAATCATAAAAGACCCATAATCTAACTAATGCTATGATATCTCATGCAAGTCAAGATTTAATTATGTATAAGCTTCACAAAGATTACTTATATGGGGCTCTTGAGTATTTGTCTATCTCAAACACAATTAGATAAATTCTATATTATTTTAGGTAGCTTAATAAATAGTCTAATTGCAATCTTTTTCTTTCAAAGGTGAATTCCAAAATCCAAAAACATATTAGAATTGGCCATCAAATAGCGCATGAGAACAAATAAGCATCAACAACCAAAGAGAAATCTATATACAAATCAAAAGTTCATAGAACCCTTTGCATTAAACAAAATTAGCTACACATGGCTCTAAATATGCAAAAAAAAAAAATCAGAATTAACAGAAGGAATGAAAGGCATGGAGTAGACGAGAAGTTTTTTCACAAAATCTAATCAAGAATTGCTCAAATCGCCCTCTAATTTCAAAAAAGCCTCCAAGACTTTGGTTGAATCTTCGAAATCACCTCCAAGACCTTGAACCTCTTCAAAATGTCAAAAAACATTGAAAACCTAGCTTCCTATTGCTTAAAACTAAGAAAAAAAATGCTGTGTGTTTTGCTGTCCAATGTAGCCATGGCAGGTGCCATGGCCCTGATGCCCTCTATTTCTATATTATAGCACATGCTTGCCATAACAGGTGCCATGGCCACCCTTCAAAATATTAATTTTTTTCCTTTTTTTTATTTTTCTTTCTTTAATATCTTCCCTCTTCTTGCCGGGGTCACCTAAAATACAAGTACTGCTCATTTTACTCATAAATACTTACAAATTATAATGATTAAATGAGAATAACCTATTTACAAATCATGACAAAATGAGTTTGAGTTTAGCCATAAGAAAGGAGATGACTTTCTAATTGCTAATAAAATCCATTGAAAACGTATTAAAATTAGAGTCATCAAACCAAAATAAATAATACAACAATATAATGGTGATTCATAGTAATTGTTATATAGATCAAAAGAATATATATCAGTTATTTTGATATAACTGCTATAGTCTTTTAATCCATATCATGCATCATCCATATGATGATATTTTTTGAAATAACCGTTATATATGAGTGCTATATATACACTATTTTTTTAGTAGTATAAATTGGTAAAATCATGATGAGTTGAACATTGTATAAAAAATTGGTTACTAAATTTTTTGCTTGTCAGTCCTAGCTATCGTGTCTTCTTTCTTCTAAAATTCATCCATTACACATTTAAGAATTTTGATTTAATGTCCTGCTTGTGTTTTTTCCTTTTGCCTTCTTTCTTCTAAAATTCATCCATCACACATAAGGTGGTCACACTTCTGCAAGTTTGTACAATTTTGCTTGCTAGTGTGAATATCAATATCTGAATTTTCCTGCGTTCCCATAGAAACTCAAGTGAAGCTACACTCTTGTTCTTGATATTATTGTAGCTTTATTGATGAATCACGATTAAAGTTCATATGTTCACACTTTTGAAAATAAAATATGGAGAGAACTCTTTTCATGACACGATTCATGGTGGAAAATATCAACGATTAATGTTCATTTTTACCTCCAAACTATTCTCGAGAGGCACTCAATATCCTAAACTATTTGTTGTACCAATTTTATCCCTAAAGTAATTAAAACGTAGCTTATTTTTCTTCGACGTTAAATACTCCAACGTTGATCATTAAAAATGCTAATTGGGACTTAAGTTTGAGAAAACAATGCCACCTATCATGCTAGGTGGATTCAAGTTAAAGTACATTTTTGCCCCCAAATTATTCTTCAAGGGGCACGTATCTAGTGTTCTAAACTATTTGCATCGTAGCAATTTCACCTCTAAAGTAATTAATAAATTGTTGTTTAGAAACCCAAATGACAATAAATGTACAAGGGGTGAAATTGGAAATAAGGCATTAATTATTTTAACTTCATCTTATATTTAGGATAAAAAAACTTTCGAACTTCAACTTATATTAAGGATTGGAGTAGTATTAGTTATGAGTTTCATTAGTCCGATTTGATAATTAAGTTGATGAGATGGCTAAGCATTTAAAAACTAGTGAACAATGCAATTATAGTTGTTATTGCAAATTTGATGTTAAAAGAAGTGACCATTTTGAAGTATTCCCTCCGTTCCAAATCATAGAACACTTTTAAAGGAGTTTCTCTATCTCAAATATAAGACACTTTGAGTAGATTAAGGTTTCATTAAATGTACCAATTTTTGTATTACCTTTTTCTTTCTCTATAATTAATTTCTATCTTTTCTCTTTCAATATATTAAATGATGGGTATTTTTAAAAGTTTATATTTTGGTTTTGGACAGATAAGATCGTTAAGTGTATTTAATGAGATTTATTGATATGTAAGATTTTGTCTAAAAATGTCTTGTAATTTAGGACGGAGGGAGTATTACTCAGTGATAACTTAATTTTATGATATGCTAGTCTTTCTTTAATTAAAGCATCCAAGCAATCTACAGTTGCATGACAACTCAGGAAAACTCAGCTCTTGATATTCAAATACTATCTCAAATTCAGAAACTTTTTCCCCCAAACATAACATCAATTTAAAGAAGTTGGTCTTTTTTGGGACAAATTTAGCTGTTAAAACTATATAAGAATCTTTGTTTGAGTACTCCCTCTCGCTTGGCGTGGGAATGCATTATTAGGTGAAACCTCTAGTCTGGCCATTTCTATTGTTTTTAATTATTGCTTGCGTATGCATTTTATTATTAATTAGCCTCATCTATCCATTTCCTCACTGTTAAAGATGTTATCCTCCCTCCCCATTGAAAGCCTCATTTAAAGTCGATAATTTAGATGACTTGAACTTATTTTTATTTCAATTAAACTGAAAATAGATGAGAAGAAAAGGAATTTGTCTAAGTTATTTACATATGTTTGGGAATATGCTGCATTTTAATTATTTTAGGAATGAAATTATTATAACACAAATAATTTAGAATACTGTTGGGTGCACTTTAAAGAATAGTTTAAGGGCAAAAATATACCTCAATTCAAAACATTTGACATTTTTAGTCAAATTTAAGTCTCAGCCAGTATTTTTAATTATCAATATTGGGGTATTTAACACCAAGAGAAAATTAAATATATTATGTTTTAATTAGGGAGAATTTTAGTTAACGATCACGATAGAGACTTAATTATTGGTGGGTCTAATTTTTTTTTTAAATTTCAGTTCAATCTATGGGAGAAAAGTCAAACTGATTTTAACAGTGAAAAGATCAAAATACCCTTTACTTGTTATGTAGACTTATTAGTTGTTAATTTTCTTCCTTTACTTATTAATTTACTAATATGAGTTATAAATTACACGAGTTGATATGTCAATATAATTAATTATATAAGACTTGATATGAGTTATTTAATCATTAGCAGAAATATCAATTGTTAAATTATAAATTTTACTTGTTAATTTACCAATATCAGTTATAAATTATTGATAGATCTTATAATTTACAAACATTAATTGTAAATTATTGACAGATTTTATAATTTACAATTGATATTAGTAAATTAACAAGTAAAATTAGCAAATTAAAAATTAATGTTACTGATTGTTTGACAAATGAATGTAATTTATAAGTAATATTGATAAATTAATAAGTGAAATAGGGAAGTTAACAATTAGTGATTTTGTATAATAAATAAAAAGTATTTTATTCTTTTCATTATTAAAATTAGTTTGACTTTTTTTTAAATTGAATTGAAATTTTGTAATTTTTTTAGACGAATTAGTAATTAAGTTTCTCCTGTGTCTTCCTTTTAATTATTCTATGGGCAAAATTGTTATCACAATTAATTTAAGACAATGGTAACCCAAATATCAATGAAACATGACGTGAGCAGCGTGACATCATGCCGAATGTTAATAAAAGACAGTCAGGTTAGTTGGTTGGGCACATGATTATCCCATCGACCACTATTTGAAGCATTCAATACACGAAAGCAATTTTCCGGTGAATTTGAACGAGACAACTGAGCATTTCCAATTCAATTTCTTAATTGGATATGAATGTTGTTCATTGACAGAAAAACTAATAAAAGACATGAATGATTAAACAAAGAAAATCATAAAATAAAAAGAAAAATTTTATAAAGATAACTCCATTTTTTTTAAACGATGATTTCAGTAAAGCATTTTATGTTCAAATTTTGACTCGTATATCATACTCCATTTTTTTTTCCTTAAAAATATATTATCCATTTTTTTTATATATATAAATGACATCTTACCTAGCCTGGCGAAAAGTACAGGATCCTATGTTCCTTTTCAAAAAATTAGACAGCAAATCATACATGCGCGTCGCAAAAAGGCGGGACTTCAAAATTAAATAATTACCTGATTAATTAATTAATATATTTTCGACCACTCCTGAAAGACTCTCTCTCTGTTTTCTTTGTTTTTTTTTTTTTGGACCTGTAACTCTCTCCCCCCTCTCTCTATTAATACCCTCTGAACCTTGTCAACTTGCGACCGGTGATTAGTCTTCTTCCGTCTGCAGTTTAATTCCTTCAGTTTTTCAGTGTCTTCGAGTGAAGGAGGTAACAATGCTGTCTAGGTTAGGCCTCAAAAAGGACAAACAGGTCATCCAAGGGACTGTGGTGTTGGTGAAGAAAATAAACAAGTTCGACTTGACTGACGTTGGTGTGTCTTTGGCGGATCGTGCTAGTGAGTGTTTAGGACAAGGCGTGTCTTTCCAGTTGATTAGCGCTTCTAAATTTGACCCAGGTTAGTTCTTTCATATATATATATATATATATATATTTAATTAAGAATGGAGAGTCGCTGCTTGAAAACTGGGGAGAACAGATAAGTAAAGAGAAGTGATAGGATGGGACGGGACCTCTCCATTTTTTTTTCCTTTTCCCTCCACTTACTTAATCTTCACTCTTCATTAATTCTATAATTAAAAAAGTATTTAATAAAATAATATGGATAGTGATGATTGGAGAAATAGAGGGAAAAGAATGAAAGAGAAATGGAGAGACCTGATCCTCATAGGATACCAAATGTTAGTTCACAATCTCAAAGGTCAAGTACCAAAACTCAAGTTTATGTTATTTTCAATTATCTTATATTATTTATTACACTTAACTTTATTTGATGTGAAACTTCTTACATCAATTTAAATCCATCTATACTCGAACAACTTAATATTTTCATTTTTATTTTCATTTTTCATTTCACACTTCATACCATGGCCTTACACTATGTTTGGATAAAAAGAAAAGTAGTAGAGGAGACAAGCGCTCACACATTTTCTTCCAAGCTTTTTCTTACTAAAATTGGAATGATTTTGGAAAGAAAACTTGCTTTCTAAAATTATTATCATTATGAATGAGTATTATTATCATTATAAAATTAGTCATTTTTCTTTCTCCTGTGTTTTCTCATGTTGAACTTTTTTCCCTCAACTTTTTTTTTCTCCATTTTCTCCTCTCCCACGTTTTCTTTCCTCATATTTTCTCTTCTCATGCAAACTTGAAAGTTAAATTCTGTACTGATTTTGAAAGGAAAAATGGAAGAAAGAAGTGAAATATTCACTCTTTCTCATCCTTTACCCTTCTTCCGCTTCTTCTCCCATGCGTATGGGAGAGAAATATATGTTATGAATGGGAAACAATTGTCCAAAAATGAGGAAGAGAAGAGATAGGCAAGAATAACTGAAAGATATCATATTTTAACTCAAAATGTCAAGATTTAAGTTTATGAATATTTTTTATTTTTTATTTTTTATTTTTTATTAGTTATTAAGCCCAACTTTAAACTTAATTTTTTTTAAGAGTGCTGGATATGTTACAATCATGGGTGGTACAATAATCTCAGGCAACAAATTAAACAAATAAATGCTAGGACATAAATAGCACAATTTAACAAGAGAGTACACTAGAAATTATTAATCTGAAAAACCTCTCACATTGCACCATCCATAACTATATGGTGTCCAGTGCTCTTGAAAAAAAATTTATGAGCAAACCATCACTTTAGCTCTTAAAAGCATGAAGGACCAAATTTTGACAAAAGATATCTGAGGGCTGTGTCATTCTAAAGTTCATCTTCTTCCTTGTATACTTTTGCAGAACGGGGAGCCAAAGGGAAAATTGGAAAGCCTGCCTATCTAGAAGGCTGGATTACTAAATCCCCAGATCTGACAGCTAAAAAATTTGAATTCAAAGTACACTTTGAATGGGAAGAAGAAGTGGGGATTCCAGGAGCATTTCTGATCAAGAACAAGCATCAAAATGAGTTCTTCTTAGTAAGTTTGACACTCAAGAATGTTCCATTCGATGGTGTAATCCACTTCCCTTGCAACTCTTGGGTATATCCTACAAATAGACACGAAGATGGTCGCATTTTCTTTCGCAACATGGTAATCATATGCACTCTATCCACTTATAAATAGAGCATAAGAGAAGTACTCTTTTCAGTTTCATATGTCAGAAGAAAAATAAGGAAAAAATATAACTTTTGGTCACTAGATATATTCTCAATTATCAATTCAGTTTTTAAACTTACTCAAAATAACTTAATTCTTATAATTTTTTGAGTCAAAACAACTCAGTCTTTATAGTTTTTTTGACTTGATATAACTTAATCTTTATGATTTCTTGATTTAATAAAGTACAAGGACTAAGTTGTATTGAGTCAGCTCAAGCTTGAGGGCTAAATCAATAATTAAAAGAAAGTTTATGAACAAAAAATTATATTATTCCAAAAAACTACTCCCTTGGTCCCAAATTATAAGATGTTTTTAAACAAAATTACACACAGTAACAAAACTCATTAAACATACTTAACAGTTTTATTTTCTCAAAATAAAAATATACACTTTCAAAAATACCTTTTATTTAATATTCTATTTATGAAAGAATATTAAAGAGAGAGAATATAATGAAAAGTGTAATATTAAAAATGTATCCTTAGTGAAATCTTATTTTTTATCAAAATGCTTTTTATTTTGAGATGTTGAATCTTCTTTAAAAGTGTCTTATAATGGACAAAGGGAGAATCTTGCATTATTCATCAATAAGTTTCAACTACCCTTATAATGTTTAAACTTTTTCCTGCTTTGATGATGGTCATTTATTTCCAGCCGTTCCTTTTTGTTCATTTAATGAGGAGTAGGAAAAACATGTTTTAACTGTTCACCTCAAATATGGTAGCATTTTTGTTATAATTATCAAGAAACCTCCCTTAAAATTTTCTTACACGAGACTAAAGTAGTATACTCATTATATTAATTATCTGACATGAAATAAAGTTTTGTCTAATGTGTATTGCAGACATATCTTCCTGATAAAACACCAAATGCACTCCGCAGATACAGAGAAGAAGAATTATCCAAATTAAGAGGGGATGGAATTGGAAATAGGGAACTTGAAAAACGGGACAGGATTTATGATTATGCTCTTTATAATGACTTGAACAATCCTAAAAAGTATGAACGTCCAATTCTTGGAGGAATGATTGGAGGTCAAATTAAACATCCTTACCCTCGTCGAGGAAGAACTGGAAGGTCACTAGTAATGTCAGGTCAAGCTTCTAGATTTGATTTAAATTGTGGCAGATATCAAATTACATCCATAATCTAAATGAACACAACAATGAATTTGTTTATACTTATGAATTTGCCTACCTTCTTGCTTTGATTAGTTTGTCATAGTATTATCAGCACATGACATATGTGAGGATATTTACATGTGGGCTAAAAGGATACCTTTGATTCTCTAACTTTGTATAAAGTTTCAATTCGATCCCTTAATTTTACAAAGTGTATCTCTTAAATCATCTAACCCTAATATCATTAGTTTTAAATGATTATTTTTTGTGTTAATCATTGTTATTTCTATAAATTCAGCTTGATATGTCAACATTTGAAAATGCTTTGTCAATATTTAAAGTTCAATGTAGGACCTTTTTGTTGATGATGAAATTAATGGTGCTAGGGTTAGTTGATTAAAAAGAAACTTTATAAAATTAAGGGGTTAAAATAAAATTTTATGTAAAGTTAAAGGACTAAATATGCACTTTAGCCTTATCTTTCTGTAGCATAAAATTTAGAGAAAATGACAATTATAGTTATAGACCTTGCAAATGTATAAATGACAATCAAAGATCTCGAATTATTGAAATGTCATGAAACGACCATAGTCTTTATTTGTGATTAAAAAATAAATAATTATTAAAATAACTAATAGAATGTGACTCATGAATTTAAGTAATGTTATTTATGAATCAATAAAGAGTGAATTGTGAATGACATAATATGAGAACATGACATGTGAGGATATTTATCTGTGTGTGTGTATAGCAAAGTATTTGAGAGTTATCAGTTTATATCTCGAAGTTCAATGTTCATATTACTTTGTCATGGTGCTAGCTAGTGAAAAAACAAACTATTGTTGCCTTTGATTATCTGAAAACAGTTCAATCTTCAAAGGAGAATTTTCTAAATTATAACCTGTCAATCATCTTCTAGCTAGATCACTAGCCAAACAATCTCTTCTGGGGTAATTACTTCCTTTGGATTACAATATAAGACATTTGGTAGAAACTTTGCCCGGTCCAAAATATAGGGCATTGTATAACTTTTATATTTTCTTTTCAACTATACCCCTACTTCATTTATTCCTCTTTTTGAAAAAAATCAGGCATTGAAATTTTAACTATTATTTAATGAGGGTATAAATGGAAAAACTGACATTTTTAAGAATTTAAGATTTTAACTAACATTGTTCGTAAACTGTGAATTAGTTAACTATGATTTATATTGTGGTTCAAATGGAGTATAAAATTTCCCATTCTTGTAGCTGACCTATTACTCTATCATTTTTTTCTGATCCAGGATACGAGGGCAGAGTGAAGAAATTTTGGGGCTCAAATTACGTTCCAAGAGATGAAGAATTTTCTCCATTGAAGAATTCAGACTTCATTACTTTTGGATTCAAATCTGTGACTAAGATCATCAAACCTGCTTTGAAATATCATCTTTTTAAGGAAGAGTTCAATAGCTTTGATGAAGTTCATGATCTCTACGAAGGTGGATTAAAGCTGCCAAAGGCTCTACTTATGGCCGTAAGTAGCTTAGTTCCAATGCAAAAATTAAAGGAAGTTTTCCGAATTGATGGTGAAGACTTTCTCAGGTTTCAAAAGCCTCAGGTGATTATAGGTATGCCTAATATGTGTGTGAGTGTGAGTGACAAAAAGTCTGTATCATTTCATGACGCTCAAGCTTTGAGAATTCTGGCTTGCACTTCTTACAAGAAAATTATTCTTGATCATATACATAATGGGAAATGACTAAAATAAGTGTCTCTGAGGATTATCATCCCCTTGATATACTACAAAGTGAAAATGTCATGAGTCCTATATCGGGAAGTTTCACAAGTAATATGGGGTTTATAAATGTGAAGAGCTCTCCCATCTAACAAGTTAGTTATTTGGAATGGGCTCTTCCTTTGAGCTCATACTCGTCCGTTGGGAATGTCGGCTTTTGACGGGGTGACATTGTCACTAGTCCCAAATTGGGGAGCTTCACAAGTAGTGTATATTTTTTAAGTATGAGGGGCTCTCCCACCCAATAAGTTGTAAATGTTATCAAATGAGAGTTTTGATTTGCAGATAATAAAAATGCATGGATGACAGACGAAGAATTCACAAGAGAAATGCTTGCTGGAGTAAATCCTGTCAAAATTTGCCGTGTCCAAGTATGGCCAATTATTTTAAGTTAATATAGTTAGCAATTTGATGCCATCTGATCACTTAATTAAGAAACTTCCATTTCTTTCGCGTATATCTTTTTTTTGCAGGATTGGCCCATAAAAAGCAAGGTAGATGGTACTATCTGCAAAATAAGTCAAGATGATATCAAAGAAAACCTAGAAGGGCTATCTGTAGAATGGGTAATCTGAAAAATTGTTATTTATTCATCTACAAGAGTTTGTTGGTCTAGAACTGATTCAGTTCAACTTATTTCCAGCTTACGTTCTCAATGTGGTAACAATTATTCTGTATGTGATTCATCAGGCAATAGAGGATAAGAGATTATTTATATTGGACTACTATGATGACTTCATTCCATATCTGGGGCTTATAAACACAACTGCTGCTGATGATATTACTTCTGAAGTGGCACCTAGAGCATATGCTACTAGGACAATTCTTTTCTTGAAAAATGATGGGACTTTAAAGCCATTGGCAATTGAATTAAGTTTGCCACAAGAGGGTCAATTCAATGCGACTCCTGAAGTTTATTTGCCTGCAGAAGAAGGCGTGGAGAGTTGGATTTGGAAGTTGGCTAAAGCCTATGTTGTTGTCAACGACTCCAACTATCATCAACTAATTAGCCATTGGTAATTATATTGTTCTAATTAATATATCAATCTTATACTTTCTATATACGATACATGTATTAATATTTTTACGTGTACATCATGATCACAGGTTATACACTCATGCTGTCGTTGAACCTTTCGTCATTGCAACGAATCGACAGCTCAGTGTGCTTCATCCTGTTTACAAACTTCTAGCTCCACACTTTGTTGATACTATGAAGATAAATGCTCTTGCTCGACAATATCTCGTCAATGCAAATGGCGTTATAGAGTCAACATTTTTCCCAGGAAGATATTCTATGATGCTTTCATCTGATGTTTACAAGAATTGGGTTTTCACTGAGCAAGCACTGCCAGCTGATCTTCTTAAGAGGTAAATATATATCATTAAAACAACTTGTAACCTAGGAATAATATGTGTTAAGTGTGAGTGAACTTAAGTCATGTGATAAGTGCTATATTGGAAAAAATTAGGCATAAAATCCATAAACTTGAACTATGAAATTTTGACTTAAGATGCAATGTCTTATACTACTTTTTGCTTATTTTATTCTCTCGCATCTTTTTGGGCATTCTCTCTCTAATAATTTAATTTTTATAGTGTTGACTCAATTAAAACTTGGTCCCTATTGAACTTTAACTCTTTACAATTTATTTTCTTTAGTTTTATTTATTTAAAATTTTATTCCCGTTATTTTGGAAAATAAAATTATAAAGAATAAAGTTATTATTAAAGCTTAGGGACCAATGTTTTAAATGACTAAAACTGAAAAGACTAGGTTATACTGAATTATATCATATGAACTAAATTGTATACTGAGTTAAAGTTTAAAGATTTAGTTACAATCGAATTAAAAGTATAGAGACCAAATGATTAATTTTTTTTCAAAAACAAGAATTTGATTATATACATAGAAGGTAATGGTAATGATTCCTTTTTTTTTGGGGGGGGGGGCTTGATTTAGGAGAATGGCAATCGAGGATCCAAACTCTCCTCACGGCCTTGACCTTGCAATTAAAGATTACCCTTATGCTGTTGATGGACTAGATATATGGTTTGCGATCAAGACTTGGGTCCAAGATTATTGCTTCTTTTATTATGAGTCAGATGAGACTGTTCAACGAGACACTGAACTTCAATCTTGGTGGAAGGAACTCGTTCAGGTGGGTCATGGTGATAAGAAAGATGATCCAAGCTGGCCTGACATGAAAAATCGTGACGAGTTGATAAATTCTTGCACTATTCTGATATGGATTACTTCAGGCCTTCATGCTGCTGTTAATTTTGGACAATACCCATATGGTGGTTATATACTAAACCGACCGACCATGACTAGACGTTACATGCCTCAGAAGGGTTCTCCTGAATATGAAGAGCTCAAGACTAATCCAGAGAAAACATTCTTGGGAACCATTAATTCCAAGAAGCAAGCGATCAAAGTCATTTCAGTGTTAGCTGTCTTATCTAGGCATTCTTCTACTGAGGCATATCTTGGACAATCTGACATCTCTGATTGGATATCAGATAAAAAGCCCTTAGAGGCATTTGAGAGGTTCAAAGAAAGAATCAGAAAAATTGAGGAAAGAATCGAAAGAGATAACAAGGACGTGAAACTCAAAAATCGACACGGTCCTGCTAATATGCCCTACACCTTGCTTTATCCTAACAGTGAACCGGGGCTGAGTGGGAAGGGAATCCCAAATAGTATCTCTATCTGAGGGGCTGATCAACCAAAACCAAATAGTTTAATCCAATGAAAGATCCAGATGCCATCTAGCTAGCTACCTAGTTTTTAGCTAGTACATTTGTATCTGCATCTTTTATTATTATGATTCAGGCTGGAAGATGCTTGCTGGATGCTGATATTGTTAAGTTACTCTGTGTTCAATTAGTTATTTCTTTCTTTCTATTTTGCTGTTTTGATTAAGATTCTTGCCATCAAGTTTCCCATTTGCATGTACTCCATTCATGTTTGCAGCTGTTCATCTGTAGCTTGGGATATCTCCGTTTGTTCCTTAAGGACATTAATTAATTTGATTGATTTGCATTATTGTCTGTCTACTCCAATTTTTGTCTTATACTTTGCTCTCCAGCCTCTTAATTTTTTTGTTAGAGAATTTTCGTGATGAATTTTAGGTTGAAATGTTTAATTGATTTGATGGAAGCATCGGAGCACCCGTGCTTGAATTGAATTGGACACAATTTTGTGCGTGTGCTGTGGTGCCGATGGTCACTTGTAGGATATCTTAATTTTGGGACTATATCTTGATTGTGCTTTTTTATTTTCATAATTTCCAGTTTATTATATGTAAAATTATTTGGAGGTCTAACTTTATCAGACTTTAATGGAAGAATCTACCAAAATTCATGTAACTAGTTGAAATTGAAATTCATGTACGATAGCTGACACACATGGATATGGTGAATTTTTTATATTTATTTACCTAACTAGTTTTATGATTTAGAACCCAGTAGAATAAAATTCAAAGATATAAGGTCATATACCCCAAAGGAAATCTTAATCTTTGCTTCAATTTTACGTTCTTTGGGGTATATGATCTGTATAATCAAATACTTAAATTCTGAAAACAGCGCACATTTGATTTACAATAAATTAAGAGGGAGTCTTGTTCTCTTAAAAAAAAAAAAAACTTCGTTGTATAAAAAAAATCAAAACCTGCAAAAGTGTACATTTAGTGCTCTGGACTCTAAACTCATTCTTAATGTAATCCACACAAAACAGTATAATGTTAGTCAAAACATTACAAATGTTAATTTTAATCATTAATTGACCAAAATTTTATAAAAAATAAATAAAAAATTATATAAAATGACTTAAAAATTATAAAAAAATTAAAAAAATTTACAAATAAATATCATATAAGTAGGTTAACACATTAGTAGAGTTGTGTTGGTCATCATTCCCACCCATGTGCAGTTATCAATCTAGCAAATAAATCTAATCCACACAAGTGACTTTAGAAATATGGCTCCTCTTATGGTTAAAAAAAAAAAAATGGCTGCTCTAACCGTTTTAGTGTTGCCTTCTTTTATGTTGGGCCACGTGAAGGGATTTTAGAAAATTCCTTCGTCTTTCTTTTCAATTTGTGTCAGAAAAGGCAAGTCTCAGGACGGTGTATAGTGCAAATTGAAAGCAACATATCTGCTTTAATTTTATATATAAATCCGCAAATTAAGGAATCACTCATCTTCTCCATTTTTTTTTCATGAAAAAAGGCTTTGGTTTTATCACACATGTTTAAAGGGCATGAATGAGACAAAGCAGAGTTGGGAATAATGTGAGGTGAAAATTAAAATTAAAATTAAATCCATTGCTATTTCTCAATTTATTCTCTCCTTTCCCTTTCTTCTTCTTCTTCTTCTACCTTTTCTTTTTATGAAAATAAAAATCAAAGAAAGAAAAATGATGCTCAGTCCTGGACAACCACAAATTCGATTATGCTACTTGCTAACATATCTCCACAATTTTCCATAATGTTATCCGATCACCAGTTGGCTTCTTCAATCCTCTAGCATGAACTCACAATTTCTCATTAATGTCCTTACCTAGGATCAGGCTAGGATGTGACTCCTCATAGCAAAGAGAAGGCCACCACCAGCCCACCACATAACCACATGTGCTCCTTTGTTCATCTTTTCTGTTCAATCTTAAATCGTGCTTGAATTTTGGCCAAAAAATAGTGCTTGAATAGGTTAGAAAAAGGGACAATCACAGATAGTTCCCAAGGTAATTAATTAATTTAAATTAGGTTTCAATTAATTTTAAAGTGAGAAATTTCATGTATTTGAAAGTTTGGTTATTAATTTTGTAATTTTAATGTGATGAATTTATAATTTATATTTTAAATTTTAATATTAAAGTAAATACCGATGAAAAAGCCCACCACATATGCAACTTGTGCCAAAGCCCACAACATTTGCAAGGTAGAATTGGCCTTGATGAAAGGAATGCATCACTAAAGTAAATACGGATTGCATAAGGGTGAAATATAAAAGGAAAACGCAATACAATATCGTCTGATACTAACTTCATATCTTGATATAACGCAGGTCAATCCTCTCTATCTGCCAACTCGTCCAAATATAGTTAATTTCTTAAAAAAAATTAAAAATAATATTACTAAGAATAGTTGGCGGTTGAATGTTAACTGACAACAATCTCCTCCGCCCTCATCCTTTGTTGACCGTTCTTTTTCACAATGAAGTCCATTTTTGGCAGTGTGACGTTTTAATTTGTCAACTGAAGAAGAAATACAAAGCTTGACCATGAGCCGACTGACGTTATGTACATAGTATTTGTACTTTTTTTGGAAGCAGAATAGTATTTGTAATTTGTAATTTTAATAATACCATGTATGTAGGCACAAGCCAAAATCACCATTCAAAAGTTTAATTAATTATAATAAGTAAGAGGAATCCAATGATTTCAGAATCCGTCTTCCAATTCAATTTATTAAGTAGATAGGTTGTCCATGAACAGAAAAGCAAACAAAAGATCTGAATGATAGAACAAAGAAAATAATAAAAATGTAATGACTAAGAAATTTTGGTGAAAATAGAAATTTTTTGTTACATATTTTGAATCTGTTTTCATTAATTTAGAGTAAGAAGAAGGAGAGTTGGTTTAGTGGTAATTGAGATAGACTTCCATTGGATAGGTCTCAGGTTTGAACCATTAGAGAGGAGAATTTTTATTTTACTAATAGTCTCTTTAAATTACCATTATGCCCTTCTCCCTTAAGCTGATTTTTCCTCTCTTATTCTTTTCTTTCCGGAAAACACGTTTGAACCAGAGAAGGAAAGCTCTGGAACCCTCCACTTTTTCCTCCATCTCCGAACTTTTCCTCCTTCCTCAGCATCGTCGGCGTGAGACAGGGTGAGAGCTCCGTCAGTCGCTGCTTTATCAAGCTCGTGGTCTTCTGTTCCTTTCCTATTTCGTATCATCAAAGTCCTTCTCCCTCCTCTGTCCAAGTGAATGCTTGAGCATTCAAATCTTCCTCCCCTTCACTTTCGTCACTGTCTGTCACCACTGAAGACCGTGGAAGCGCCATCGAAGCTCTCCCCTCTTCGGTGTTCAAGACTCTTCTTTTCTTTTCTTCGTTCGTCCACCACTGTTTAGTTTAGCTGGGTTGAGATGAAGAGTTTCGAACCTTGCCATTGTTGGTTCTGTTGTGCGTGTGAATGTAAGAAGTAATATTGTTGAAGTTGCAAAGTTTTATTGTGTTCTGCTGCTGTTGTGACTGTGTAAGAAGGGGTGGAGTTAAATTGAGCTGAAGAAAAAAAAAAATCTGTGTTGAAGCATGATGATGATACATATGAGTTAAATTGGTTGATATTGAAGATTTGGTTAGTATAAAGTTAGAAAAGAAGAGGTGAGATATGAAACTTGAAGAATGATAATTATTAGATGTTTGTTGAGATACATGTTAGAATAAATTGGACTTAATTTTTTCGAATGATTATGAAATTTCATTGATTTTTGTGAGAAGTATAGTTAGTTTAGATGTTATTTTATAAATTTAACTTGAAAATTGCAAAGAAGACTTGATTGTGAAATTAATAATATGTGATTACTTGAATTCTTTGAGATGGATGGTTTGTTGATGAAAGATTGAATGCTAAAAAGTTCTTGTAAGTGGGTTGGAAGTGATGTATAATTGGTGTTTTAACAAAATACTAACGAGAATATTTTAAAGTGTAAAGTTTTGATTTTAAAGTTTCAAATTTATTATAGTTTAATATTAGTGGGAATTATGTTGAAAAGGAACTATGATACTGGTTGAAAGTTTAATAAAATTTTAATACGATTTATAGGATGTTTGGAAGAGTAAAAACTTGATTAAAGTTTAAAGGTATAATTTAAACTTTGAGAATTTTAGGTAAGTGGATAGTGTTCTACAAATTTTTTAATAAAATTTTCTTCACTACAATATTACATTTTTATGCAAATCATTTTAATAACAACATTGTAATTATTGAATATTTTCTTAATTAAATTAATTTATTCTGTGAAATTATATTTACTACATTTGAAATATTAGTTAATCAATAAATACAAATTTGGACTTTAATTGTGCAATTTCATTCTAGCAAATATTAGATTGATATAGAAAATGATTCATGAGAGTTTGACGTTGAAAATAAAAATTTTATTTTAATAGTAATTATTTTCTTGTATGTTTAAAATTGGGTTGGAAAGGAATTTTATATAGGAAATTGGTTGCTAATGGAAATCCCATTAGCTCTTGGTGCGCTTCGATTAATAACTAGTTAGTTTGATTTTTGTGAGTTTTGTTTTTACATTTGTTATTCGTGGGTTTGACATTTGCATTTGTTTTCGTGACTTCGAGGCATGTTTGGTTAGTATTACTCGCATGAACTGTGTGTCAATGTTTATTTTGTAGCTCAGGCTACATTTGATTATTTACCCTCGTGGACTATGTGTTTATTTTTGTTAATTGTTCTAATAAGTGCTATAAATATGATTTTAATTATTTGGTAATTTTATATCCTATTGGTTTAAGTTAGTAATCTAGTTAAAATTATTTATTTTGCTTATTTTTTTCCTTAAAATCAAGAGATAATAATATTTATATGATAATTTAAGAGTTCAAGATTTTGTTTAAAAGTTATATAAAACCCTTTTAAAACTTATTCAATTTTTATAAAGATCATTGTCTCTTTAACTTATATAATTATTTTAAAAATTTTTTATTCATGTTTAATTATTTATTATTGGGATGTTATTCACAGAAAAATTATTTTAGTCTTGGATAACTTAGCTAACATTGATCCTGCTATTGACCCTGAGGACTTCTAGACATGCTGGGTGGAGAGTTGATTCAAATTCCTTCTTTTAATGTAATTATAAATACTTATGTATTTTATTTTGAAAGTATGATTAGATG